TCTGTGCTCTGCCCACCACGGGTATCGAAACCCGGTTTTTAGCGTTGTAAGTCCGCAGACATACCGCTGTGCCACTGGGGGGCTTCATGAAAGTCTGTACTACATTTAGTATTTTATTAAATATATTGTTTATTCACTTAGAATTTTCGCGCAAAGCAATACAAGGGCTACTTGCTCATAACTGTCCCTAATTTTGAACTAATAGACTAGAGGGACAACAACACATGCCGCCAACTGTTTAAGCTACTTCTGTCTAGTGAGAATTGATCGTCACTTTTAAAGTGATGGCGGGTGGTGTTGAGTCTGTTGACACACAATAAGGGTTTATATATGTCGTGCTCAAGGCAGGGATCGCACCAGGATTGTAGTTTTGTAAGCCCTCTATCTTATCCTTGGCCTCAAGAGAGCACATACTAATGACGTTTCCTCTATTTCATTTTATTTTCCAACGTTTTAATATTAATGTGGAAGTGAACTTCTAGTCAAGAAAATTTAAATTGTTGCCATGACAATATAAGGAAGTTATCTATTACGGAACAAAAATTAGCTTGTTGCTATGGTGATATCCATAAATGTTGTATTTTTAGTGGAATATTTGAAACGCCGTAGAGTTTATGCAAGACAATACTTGTGAAGAACAGAAAACGGGAAAACTATCTTTAAGACATAGTTAGTGTTTTGGTATTCCAAAATCGTTCTTTTATAAAAACATTTATATATATATATATTCAATAGTATCGTCATGTTACAAAGATGGGAACTTTAGGAACGTCTGTAATTAAACAATATCGATCGGATGTAAAGGATGTCATCATATTCAAGATGTTTCATAATTTGGGCAACATTATCGGAGAATCGCAAAACTTGGAAGGTTTATATTATTGAACAATCCCCTGGTGGCCAAACGGTGTGTCGTAGAATGCTCTCTGTTACAGACATTTTTCCTTTGCCTATTCTTCTACAAATTATGAATTACCTCGTAAAACTGAACCACAATCCCGGTTTTATTGTAATGTAATTGATCTGGTAGTGTATATTTTCGTATACATCATGTCCTATGTCATAGACAAATGACTAAAAACTGTGTGAGGTAAAACAGTTAGTATTAGCAAAGGTCTAGTGTAATGAAATTCGTTTATAATCCAAATTTTCTAGTACAGCCGTTGTTAGTTCTTTAAGTGTCTTTGGCATGTCGTGAAGAAATTTTCTTTATGATTGAAACATAGGTTGAGTTTGTGTGTTCTCTATGATTGAAACATAGGTTGAGTTAGTGTTGTCCCTATGTTTGAAACACAGGTCGAATTCGTATTTTCTCTGTGATTCAAACATATGTTGAGTTTGTGTTTTCTTTATGATTGAAACATAGGTTAAATTAGTGTTGTCTCTATATTTGAAACACAGGTCGAATCCATGTTTTCTCTAAGATTAGAACTTAGGTTCAGTTTGTGTTTTCTCTAGGATTGAAACTCAGGTTGTATTCGTGTTTCCTCTATGATTCAAACATAGGTTGAGTTAGCGTTGTCCCTATGTTTGAAACTCAGGTTGTATTCGTGTTTCCTCTATGATTGAAACATAGGTTGAGTTAGTGTTTTCTCTATGACTGAAACTTAGGCTGAGTTCGTATTTTCTCTGTGATTCAAACATATGTTGAGTTCGTGTATTCTTTATGATTAGAACTTAGATTGAGTTTGTGTTTTCTCTAGGATTGAAACTCAGGTTGTATTCGTGTTTCCTCTATGATTCAAACATAGGTTGAGTTGGCTATCTCAACCTAATCATTCTCTTGTATGAAGCTTCATTCTGTAGATCTGAAGAATTTTCGACGTGTTCTGTTAGATAATGGAAAGAACTGTTTTATTATTCCTTCCACCTGAGTTGTCTTTTTTAATTTATTTCAAGTTCACAGGAATGGTGGGATTGAATGAATTTGTTCACAACAATCGCACCAGGATAAGCGTGTATGTTTGATGTAAGTATGACTCATCCCATCAACTCGTCTGCATACCATCGGAGAAACGCGTTTTGTCCAACGATTGCGATCAGTGAGATTTTAGATTCCTGTAAGCCATCTAGAAGCTGTGTGGTGACGCATAGTGCAGTACGAGCGCGACAAGCGCCAGCCGCGTGCACAGCGAGCGACACTTTCATCGTATTATGCATGTCTCTGATATGAAATGCCCAAAAGCTATTTAAGCTTCATAGCGTAACAGATGATGAACTGGGATTAATTCTAGCGAAGGAATCAGCTGGTTTTGACATTTTGAACCGGTGCATGCGTTTCGCCGTCTTGTTCGTAATTATTCGTACTAATAATCACATACGAAATGGGCAAAACTCTCTTTATGCTACTGAACGAGTAGCAGGTTCTACATCAGATGTATTGTTCCACGTTTGTTCGCCAGAAACCGGGTTTAGATACCCGTGGTGAACAACGAAATACAATTACTGAATGTCTGCTCCACTCTTTTTCGTCTCGAAAAATAGGGTTTTGAGTGTTAAAGTAAAGACGTACCACTTGGGTTTCATTCGACTATGAAATAATACTGCATTAAACTAATTACCTCAATCCGAGGAAATTCAGTTCCTTGTTGCATATTGCTTTTATAGTCTTCTTAGCATAAATATCTGAAAATGTTAATTTAATGCAAAATACAAGAAGGTGGTTGGTTTATTCACTGAAAAATTAAATTTTATTTTTCATTGATTAATTTACAGCTTTCAGTGACATGACTTTATTTGTAAATTCGCTAATTTTCTTTTTCTTATAGTCGATAAAATACTTGAAACAAGAAAAAAAAATACCGCTTTGTTGTTTTTTTTTAGTAAGGATGGGATTTTTCATGGGACAGGTTCCCGATGGATTACTGATAAGTCTAAGGAGTTACAACGCTAAAATCCTGGGTTCGATTCCCTACGATGAACAGCGCGCAGATAATCCATTGTCTAATTTTGCGCTAAAACATCAACAAATCTATGGAGCATTAACTCGGAATAAAACGTCTACCTGCTTGTATTATAAGTATTTCAGAAATATGATGTGACCTGGTGTAGCCTATTAATCAGCATGCTAGACTATGGTTCCAGGGTACAAGGCTCGCGTACCATTGACGCAGAAACGCTCTTTGATTGATTGTTTGTAATTAAGCACAAAGCTGCACAATGGGCTATCTGTTCTCTGCCCACCACGGGTATCGAATATCGGTTTCTAGCGTTGTAAGTCTGCAGACATACCGCTGTGCCACTGGAAGGCGCGTACATTGAAACCGTTGGACAGTGACGAATGAGTCTCACTATTTGGTTAGACTAGCCCAAGAGATGGCGGTTGGTGCTGTTACGAGTTGCCTTAGTCTTACATCATTAGTTCAAAATTAGGGAGGGCTCGCGCAGATAGTGATTTGCGTGAATATCCTTAACAAACGAACAATAATACTAAAGTGTGTAACCCTGCACGTTCGACTTTAGGTGTGTATTATGGAAAGCAAAATATCTCTTATAAACAATACTGTGCCTGATCTGTTGATAAATTTTATTTAAATACTTGTATTCTAGTAACTCTATTTTAAACACATTTGCAAACGCCGACTAAAACGGATTTATAATTTAACACTTGTGTGACGTCGTCGAAGTACTTAATATTTTCAATGGTTAATATATTTAAATATTGATCTTCACAACCAGTGTTCCGTAAGAGTCAAAAAATGATTAATGAACCGCTAACTAAGGAAAACATACCTTAATGGGACTATAAATATATCGTATGAGACATGTGTTTTGTTTTACTATAATCATTGTTGGATAGAATATATATATATAAATGTAGAAAGAGTAGACGTCAAAATAGCTTTGCTTGTTTTAGATAGTTATCCTAATTCTTGTTGGAACACTTCAACCATACTAATACAAGTTTATTTAAAGTATTCTATAACACTTTAAATTTATAGCTTGCAAACTATGTATGTTGAAATAGTTTTTTGAAGACACATAAAAAAGTCTTATTAAAATTCATTAAGTCCACGAACTCTAGAGTTTGAACTGTCGCAAAATGCACTTGTGTCAAGCTTTTATATTTTTGAAGTGACGTCACATTTCAATGTTGCACATAGATGTGTCTGTGTGTATTTAATGTTACTAATTCTGAAATTCCAAACACCTAACTAAAGAAAATTATTTTATATTGCAGACACAGATCTAACTGATAAATTGAAATGTGAATGTTTAAAATCGTAGCCTTGTTAGCAGTTCTTAAATATTTAAACTAGATGTTTACTGAAATAAACTTACACACCACAACTACACAGAATGAAAGAAAGATAAATTCACTGTGTTTCCACAATAGTTATTCTCACAAATTCTGCATTTCAGTCCACTTGCAAGACCATAATAATCCATCACTTGGTATCAATGAAAACACTCACAATGTGATTAATGAATGTAGTAATGGAGCTTTTATAGAGAGTTAGAAACTGACCTCGTGATTAAAAAGACGAAATACGTTTAATTAGTTTAATATTGCAATCATAGATGGTTGGGACAGAAGAGTTGTATGTAAAAAGAGTTGTATGTAAACACAGTTTAAGACTGTCCCAGCCATCTTAAACTGTGTTTACATACAACTCTTGTGTCCCAACCATCTTAAACTGTGTTTACATACAACTCTTGTGTCATTCCCAACCATCTTAAACTGTGTTTTAACAGTTTATTCAGACATCCCTAAAGGTAAATTTGGCAAATTTCATCCTCATTGTTGTCGAACATGTTTCACTAATAATACCACGTGACTTATACATCATGATTAAACATAGAATATGTAAAACACACACACACACACCCCAAAAAGATGTATGAAACACATCATTTTTCAATATTAACAACCATGGTAATGGATTAACAAACAAAGAAAATCTGTGTTTAATAGTTCCAGACATAACCTAATATAACAACTAGCAAGTAGCTGCGAAAAAAAATTCTACTGGTTGAAGACTTCGGTGTTGTCTGTGTTATTCCGTTACAACCATCGTAATCGCACGTGACAATACACCCTTTGAAGGTATCTTCACCATACTTGAACACTCCACACTGGTTTTCCATGGGTTCTCTTACGCATGCGCGGATTACCACTTCCTCGTTATTCATGGCTACAACATTAAAGAAACAGAATACAATAAGTGACGATGTTTAGGGATCGAGTTTTATTCAGAAAAATTTGGTGAGTCACAAATGGTTTAACTTCATCTAAGTTACTTTATTAACCCTTCCTCTAGGTTACTTTATTAACCCTCTCGAGTAAACTCTTGCAATAGAAACCTATTCACTAAGCATCATTATTTCATATTCTTTATTAATGCATATATATGCACATACACTCACACACACACACACACATATATATTTACTAATGAAAACAAAGCTTATTTGGAAGAGTGAATGTGTGTGTGTGTTTATTTTAATTAGAAGGGACAATAGTTTTCTAGAAAATCCCTCTTAGTAATTTTCATTAAAATATTCCTATAAAGTTTGAAAATTTATACAAACAAAATAAAGGTTCTCTAGTAACTTAATACTTCATACAAAGTCACTTTGTCAATAATCTCTTGAATAATTGTAAGATATATTCGCATGCATTATAATTCTGCAGTACAATAACCACTTGTTTCATTGCTAATTCTGCAGTACAATAACCACTTGTTTCATTGCTAATTCTGCAGTACAATAACCACTTGTTTCACTGCTAATTCTGCAGTACAATAACCACTTGTTTCATTGCTAATAGACACCTTATATTGTATAAAAACGGTAGCGTTTACTGAAAGCCAACTTGCAAAAACTGTAATAATCGTTTCCTTTACGTTATTAAGCCTTGCTTGTTTATTACTTTCGTGATTGTAAGAAGGCAAAAAAACAACGTCTTTTTGTTTCGTACCAATTTTTATCATTCAAAGGTTAACATCACAGTTTTATAGAAAATAAAGCGAATACTATTTATTCCCTCAGAAAATAAAATATAATAATTAAGAATCATATTCGTGTGGTAAAGATTTTGGAGATTAGTGCTTTTTTTTCAGACTTGCCATCCAGATAATCTTATTTCAAAATTTTAAGAGAACAATCTTTATAGATCAAGTTTTATTAAAAATTTTGGTTATCGTATTCATTTGACCACGTAGCTTAGCATAAGCAGCTCATGTGAGTTTCTGCATACCTGTCTTTCCAAAAAGCAACTCCTGTAAGTTTTTGCTTACCTGTCTTTCCCAGCAGCAGCTCCTGTAAGTTTTTGCTTACCTGTCTTTCCCAGCAGCAACTCGTCTAAGTTTCTGTTTACCTGGTTGTTGCAGAATTAATTCATGTGAATTTCTGCTTACCTGTCTTTCCCAGTACTTTCAGGCAGAAGTGTGCAGGAGAAAGTCTGATGCGGCCTTCTGTTGGCACCATGCAATTTTCAGTGTATGTGCTGTTGGCCGGTACGAAAGGCTCGTGACAACTGAGGTCGGACTTGTTGCGGGAACTACATGTATAGCAGTTTATTCCATCCCCTAAGATACAGTTGTTACACGTCAGATTAAACAAACCGTACAGATTTGTTATACATTAAATTATTGGCCACAATGTCTTTCAGAAGCTAAATGATAATCGATAAGGTTTTGTTGTAAATCAGTCTCAAATTATTGCTACAAAACAACGTCATATGAAACCATGATACAGAAAAATTACTTACGACAAAAAAAAAAGAAGGGAAATCACGGAACTAGAAATCCGATAAAGCAACGCTTTTCAAAAGTTAGACCTTCTTCTTCTTTAAAGTGAATTGGAAATTCGCATCAACAGTATAAGATTTATATAGTTTAGACTATGAATCCTGACATACGACTTTCCTTGGAGCTCTTATAACACCTCTTTATATCATCATGTACGTTCAAACAATATGTCTGGATACGTTTTGTATAGCTTAGGTTATGAATCCTGAAATATAATTTCCTTGAAGCTGTCAGCCGCTATTTGCAGCAGCAGCACCGAAGAATAACGTTATTAATTTTCTTAATTTCCATGGACAGCTATGATAAATAAATCTTGAAATATCAAATTCAGCCTTAAAAATCATTATTTCTGTTTAGGGATCAATCCAGAATATTCCATCATAAACATGTTCTTTCTACAGATCATCTGGAGATTTGAAAATTAGTTTAACCAACTTAACGGTAGAGGGTTGAAGATCTCCACGTCTAGTCTACGTCTACAATAGCTCCTCAAATCGGTTATTTCTACTTTGTTATTTAATTAAAATAAAATAAAATATTCATTTACATAATATAATTTTATCACACACAATTAACAATTATTTTGTAATTGATTAATGTTTTATTCTTATTTATTTATTATTTTTGATTTGCATATGAATAATTAGATAAAAACTGATACAACAAAAATCAGAAAGGTTGTGATTGATAAAACAACATCTAAGAAAATATAAATCCAATTACGATATTCTTTTAGAACGGGCTTCTTTACTAAGTATTTGCATATTAAACTACTGGTAGGTGTCTAAAAATATAAAACCCGTATTAAATATTTAAACAAAATCGTTGTTTGTCTTTGACATGAAGTCAATGTCAACCATCATCTTTTAGAACAGAATTTGTTTTAGGCTTTTATGATAAAAGTATGCTACATCTTAATTGTGCAATTAATCACATACTTAACTATATTCTCTGAATCAGGTATCTTATCCGCTAGACGTATATTTTCACTTTAGTTTAACCTGAAAGTACCGACTTTTATATCGTCCACATGCTGCATAATAACGAGTAATTTTGTGTTTATGCCTGTTACAAAACGCAGTACAAAAATTATTTCGTAAGATCACCCATTTTTATGTATAATACATACCAGCCTCAGTACTACTGAGTGGGATTAATTGTAATATTTATGGTATTTTAACATGTTTTTGTGTAGGTCTTATGTTAGTAGTGATACTTTAACCATCAGAGTCATGAGCCCACAAATAACTTGATACACAAATAGTTGCAAACAATGTGTTTAAAAAATCTAGGGTTAATAAATGTCTTATCTAGTCTTTAATTAACGTTCATATTATTCTCGTTTATTTGAATTGTCAATTCGTCAAGCTTGTAGTACCAAATTCTATAAAAACAACATAAATATATCGTGTATTCTTCAGTGACGCAATGAGGATATATTTTTTTGTAATTTTAAACAAACTTTATTTTGATCGGTGTATTCCTATCAGCAGCTTTACCCGTTTTTATGGGTTTTTTTATTACTAAAACTGTACTGAAGGTTTAACCTTTTAAGATATTATATTTTTCATAGTTTATTTCGCACCATTTTCAAGCAAATCGAATTAAGTTACCAATTTTATATTTTATTAGCCACACCCCATATACATATATTATCGAAATAATATAATTTGGTTATTTGCGATGTTCGTGTTATATTTCTTCTTTTCAAAGATTTTTGTCACGACTTGTCTACCAATATTTCACTATTTATAAGATTTCGTCTGAGACATGTTGCAGCAGGTTAAGAAGTGCCTGGTATGAAGAAAAATATTTTATACAACCAAATACCTCAATTTAAAAATAACTTGCAAACGAAACTTACCGCTTGTTGCTAGGAGAGCGAAAATCACTAAACAAAAATAAAAACCTGGAGGTGTTGCCTTGGAAACCACGACGTACATGTCTCGGATCTGGTAATGAATTCTGAAATTAAAATTTATCCTTGTTTAAATCTAGCTTTTTTCTCTTAGATAACCAATAAAACAGTGGAAATGTATCAAAACTTATCAAATAGGGTAAACATTTAAATTTGTTACTTTAGTGTGCTATGCTAGTCGTCCTTCGTTTACTGAGTGTAAAAATTCGTAAATATAATTCAACTGTCTAGGTTTGTTGCGAGAACTAGAAAATTGCAAAACTGTAGCCTGAAACACGACCAAAAAATTTGTTAGTTTTGAAAATGCTACATTTAGAGAAATATTTGGATGACGCTTAACTTTGGGTACATCTGAAGTATTTGGTGTTAGTGGGTGTTGAGACATAACACTTGATTAGTTTTATTTGTCAAGCCGACCTGGCGAGCTCAGTTATCGAACGGAAAGGCTCTTGACTAGTGGATTAAGACAGGCAGAAAATGGTTGACGTGGCATTTCTGCACTGTCTGTTTTTAGCTGGAAACTTGAAACGAGTGTGTAAATAATTTCAAGCCTGAACCTTGATGTTTCACTACATACGCATGATACTGTAAAAACCTTTTTTTCTTATCTTTAAAAGTCTTGTATCATGAAATTTACATTAGCAGCTCATTTCAACCCGCTAGGTTTCAATTTTTTATGGCTTTGTAACACCTGATAGATTCAACATTAAACCCAAGTTCTTGTTGAAGAAAGATAATTGACAGAAAAATACTTCGTTCATTTATCCAGCATTTGGATACCTGTTTAAATTATATTGATTGAGTTAAAATACATTTTAACTCATTCAATCTTATATTTTTCACAATCGATTTGATAGTTGTTGTTTTTTCTTTAAATCTAACCAAGTAATCTAAATAAAAGTATTCTCTAAACAGAATTTGTAGTTCCAGAAAGCGGCGTTAATCTCAACACGACAAGTTACTGTGTAGGTGGCTCGAGAAATAATGTTTATCGATGTTAAAAGTTTTTTCACACATAACTTCGGGAATCATAGCCTATATGTATTATGATGTTATAGGCCACTAGTTTTCAGATTTTGACCAAGTGCGTGTCTTTAATAGTTTATTGAAAAAATATATCAGATGAAAGGTTTATTTTCAAAACTACCCACTACATTCTACTCACCGCGAGGAATCGACCCCCGGATTTTAATGTTGCAAGTCCTACACCTAGTGCTGACTGAAGGGGGATAAGACGAAAATATTTTTTATGCACAACCAATTTATGAATAGTTTGTTGAACAAGTTTCTCAGATAAGAGTAAAATGATTTAATGTTACATACAAACAGATCTGTGACGTTTGGCAGATTGACTCTAGTACAAAACTTCACAAAAATTTTAACTTCACAACTTATGAAAAGCAAGACGTTTTGATTTCTTGGCGAAAGGTCAATGATCTCAGAACAGCATTTAGTTTTATCTTGTGTAAACGCTATAACGTAATAAATACTTCAGACTAGTCTAAAACACACACACACACACACATATATATATATATTTATTTATTTATTTATTTTGCCAATCAAACTAAGTAATCATCAACTTACATTTTAGCCGCCATATTTGTTATATATATTTTTTGTAATATTGTTTCATTAATTAAGTCAAGGATGCCTACTAATAGGAAGTCAGAAACTAAGTAATTTGTTACAGTACCTGAATGATATTTTAGGAGGTTCAGTGGTTCAACGGTCTGTAAGCTTATAACACTTAAAACCGAGCTTCGATACACGTGATCGGCAAATCAGAGGTAGTTCATTGTACAGCTTTGTGCTGTACAACAAGACAAATAAACAAATTATCTTTTTTTTGGGAGTTCGTTTTTTGACTGTTAGTTAAAACTGATCTAGTAAAAAAAATAGCCTAAACAAAAATATCCTCGAACCCCGCATGCTTCAACGTTAATAACTTTCCGAAGTAGGCTTAATTTAAATAATTAAATGTTCCCCATTCGACAGATAGAAAGTTTTTCATTTGTCAGTTAGAAACAAATAGCACAATACAATATATGTTGCTTTTTTATTATTTCATGAATAAGAATAATTAGGTGTTATATTGTGTTTCCTTTGATAGCATACAGATACGAATTACTTACTGAGGAAGAGAGTATAATAAGCATCAACTTTAACGTCTTTCTTCGGCATTTGTTAACACGAACAAAGTAAAACCATTTTGAGTTATACGTGAAAAGTTCCCAACACTGTTTATCACAATTTTCTTTCTTTTTTAAATCTACAAAAACATCTGCATGTAAGTCACGTTACCTCGTCGTATTACCCTTTCGAGAGAGTAGGATGATGTCGTTTCGTTTACGTTACATTTGACTTATTTCCACACACAAATTCGACACATTAAGCCTTATTTTACGGACTAGTAGCTTTAAGCATGACTCATGGAGATCATTCTGCTGTGGATATACTTTAACAACGTATTCACCAAGATCATTTATTTTCGGTTTCATAGATTCCACACTCCATTTGCGTATGCATTGTAACTTCCCAAGGGTTCTTGCGCAGGAGGAAATTCAATAACGCCATCTTTACAACGCTTTGATGCGTTTGTAGTTTTGGCTGATTCACTGTGCACACTCGTGAATCAACTCAGTGAAGATTGAGTCGAATAAGTGCCGTTAATATTTTAGTGCGCCTTGAAAACCGTCAGGTGAATTTGGCTCTTCATGTACAATTACAAATTGCTTAAAAAACATTTTAAAGGTATAGTTTTCAGTTTGACTTATTTTGGTTTGAAGTTGTACAGCTTGATGCGCAAAACTAAATATTTTATGTACTTGCAAAATAATCACGGGTGTAAAACATCATGTACGTGCTTGCAAGTCCCACCCTTTCTTCTCTCTCACTTGAATGTGAGATTCACTTTATCGATCTCATTAACACAACTGAAAAATAGGTGTGTATTTCTTGTTGTGCTTTCATCATTAGTGTAGAACAGTACTTCATTCTTTGAAATATTCATCTAGCCTTAAGTGTAATGAAGTTGGTTGATCAGTAAACGATAAAGTTTGAAAACCACGCTGTTGACATCGTATTGGTGTTTCCTTCACAAATTAGGTTTAGGTTTATGTATTTTCTCCTACAACGCCATAATGAGATATGTAATATATCCATCTGTGTGGGCGCATGATTATCAAAGAAAGATTCCGAAACATGTAAACATTTGTAAACACACGCATTCTTACGGATCCTACTTTCCATAGCCTAAATACTATAGGGGTAATCTACGAAGTTCAAGTAATGCGTCTTTATAAGGTATTTGTAATTAATATGTTCATACTGCTGAGCAGACTGAATCCAGTCTAGAAACTGGACAAAACTGTTTGTTCGCGAACTTTGTAATGTCAAAACATTATATTTGTGTGTCGAAAGTCCTTCCCAGAAAAAAATATTCAATATGATTGCCTTTTTTTTTGGTGGGGGAAACAATAAAATAAACAAAGGGATTGTCAGTTTATCTGAAATGTTGAGTATCTCGTAAACCTAATTTGGTTAGATATCAAGTTATACAATGCATGATGCTGAAGCACGATTCCTATTAGAATTAAAGAGAAGAAAGGCTATAATAGCATGTTATTCTTCACTAACCTATTACTGGTTTTCCAGTAAGTATAATGTCTAATACAGCTTAAATTGTACTTTAGCTGTTGTAGGCTACTGTCAAACAGCTCATACACTATACAAAGTCTCAACTGAACCGATTCATATATCAGTCATTTATCAGACAAGTCCTAGGGTGTCGAGTGTCTTAGTTGATAGAGTATGGCACTTAGTTGTAAAGTATATCAGTCATTTATCAAACAAGTCCTAGGGTGTCGAGTGTCTTAGTTGATAGAGTATGGCACTTAGTTGTAAAGTATATCAGTCCTTTGTTAAAAAAACACACTATGTGTTGCTAGGTTTACCTAGTATCACAATTGTACAATAGTCCAAAATTTCACGTGTTACATTATCAGTAACGATATTGCTTCATTAAACAACAAGTAAAATCAAACACCCTCCAGTTTTCTGGATTTGTTATGCGGGTGACGTCGTACGGCTTTCAAAGATAAAAAGTGTATTAACAATTTTCTTTCAAATTTGAATGTTATCCATCCCACCATTAAGTTTGCAGTTGAACATGAAGTTGAAGGTAAGATTTCATCATTAAATATTTTAATGGAGAAAAATACAGACAATGAATTTCACACTTCCGTGTTTCAAAAGGAAGGACACGTTTGTTTGTTTGTTTGTTTTTTTAATTTCGCGCAAAGCTACACGAGGGCTATCTGCGCTAGCCGTCTCTAACTTAGCAGTGTAAGACTGGAGGGAAGGCAGCTAGTCATCACCACCCACCGCCAACTCTTGGGCTACTCTTTTACCAACGAATAGTGGGATTGACCGTCACATTATAACGCCCCCACGGCTGAAAGGGTGAGCATGTTTGGTGTGACGGGGATTCGAACCCGCGACCCGCAGATTGCGAGTCGAGCACCCTAACCACCTGGCCATGCCGGGCCCGGAAGGACACGTACTCAGAAGTTTATCTTCATTGTTATTCCTTCCACGATCCTAAACAAAAGATAAGGATCGCAAAATCTCTTTTAAATACACATAATAGTTGCTCCTTTCAAAGGTCCTCAGTTTTTATCAATCACCAAATAAGTTTCTTTTTCGAGAGTGGTTTGTTTGTTTGTTTTTGAA